CGTAGCAAGTGGCCACACCTGAACTTTAATACCTATTATATAAGCTATTTTTTTCCAAAATGAAGCAAGAATATATAGCTTATAGCTAGCTCTAAATGACGATGTGAACAATTCTGTCGCTAAAGTAGTACATTGGTTTAAAGTAAATAATCTTCTCCTTGATGAAGAAAAAACAAAATACCTAAAATTTGTACTTCCTAGTGTAAAAAAAAGTAGATATAAATGTGAAAAGAACGTGGGCCTTGTTGATACCACAGTATTTTTAGGAATAGCATTAGATTCTAAACTACAGTGGGGCCCACATATTGATAAATTGTCGAATAAACTTAGCTCTACAGCATATGCCGTAATGAAGATACGTAGGTTGACTGACATAAATACTGCCAGATTAGTAAACTTCAGTTACTTTCATAGTGTAATTTTGTATGAAATTCTATTATGAGGAAATGCTGCCGACGTACAAACGGTTTGTGTGCTTCAGAAAAGAGCAATTAGATCAATTTATAATCTTAGGATTAGGGACTTTTTAAAGGATTAATTCAAGGAAATAAACATAATTACTATTGCTTCTCAATAAATATACCAGAATTTAATGTACGTTCGTAAAATATTAGTTTGTTTTCTATAAAAAGTGATGTACACAATTTTAATGCAAAAAGTTAATAACTCATTCAGGGGTCTTTGTGTGCCTTCTACAATAAGGTCCTGTTAATATTTTGTGTTGTAATAATTTGATATCGTGCTTTTAAAAAAATACTTAGGTATTAAAAAAGCGTATTAAAAGGTATCCGATTATATAACAGATAATAATGCTCGGACTTAAGATGGTCTAGCAACTGGATAGGTGATTTCTTCTAAACTCATCTCGGTACGGTTTGACCTCCGTAGTTTCAACACCTTGCTCATACAAGAGGCTATTGAGCAAAATTGGCGGTCGAAAATCTTTGCCTAAAGACTTGGGAGAACTCATCTGACGAAACTCATAACCTCAGATGGCAGGATCGTCACATCGGTTCCAGAGATTCTCGCTGAAATTGAAGACTTCTTCGCTTCGCATGCCCCAAAGCGTTTTTCCAATATAAATGATCCCAGAGCTATACTCATACACCATTTCATTGACGATCTCCCAGACATTGACGAAGACGAAATTGAGGCGTCTCTAAAACAACTTGGAAATGGGAAGGCCCCGGTGAAGACGGCATCACTTCTGAGCTTCTTAAGATAGCAGGGGTATCTGTGCTTAGAGAACTAAATAAGCTATTTAATACCGTCATAACCAATGGGACTACCCCGGAAGCGTGGAGCAGAAGTGTGATGGCTCTGTTTTTCAAGAAAGGAAATAAATGTCTCTAGAAAAAATACAGACCGATCACACTTCTGAGCCACATTTATAAGTTGTTCTCGCGAGTCGTCACAAATCGTCTTGCTGCAAGATTGGACGCCTTCCAGCCATCGGAACAAGCTAAGTTTCGGAAAGGCTACAGTTGCGTAGACTACGAATGGAGCCCTCGGCAAACGTAGTATCGGACGCTCCCCGGCAAGATGGACTGACGACCTCTAAAAGGTGGCCGGCAGTGGCTGGATGAAGAAAGCGGGAGATCGTGTTTTGTGGCGCACTCTGGGGGTTGCCTTCGTCCAGCAGTAAAATGCAACAGGCTGATATGATGATCTGGTAATTACATATTTTTTGAGAATGTCATTACTCCTATTAGAGCTGGCGAGTTTCTTGATAGTTTTTCTTATCAGCCAAAAGACATCCTCAACGAGCCAAAAGATGTCCTCAACGAGTGGTAGGGAAAAAAATATTGGACAATTCAAAAGTACTTTTAAGAAGTCTGTTTGAATAAAGATTATTTTACTTTGACTTTGAGGCCAATGAAAACCAATTTAATGTATACTCAAAATACTCATTTCTGATTAGGGTTCTGAAATTTGGTGGAATAATTAAATTCACTAACGTGAAGACCTGGGAAACTATTCAGGAAATTGTAGTATCCAACTATTTTGTAATTTACATATAACTTGACGATGTTATTTGCCAAATAATAAATAAACTCGACACGTAAATCTACCAAAATTTTATCTAAATGTTCGCAATCTATCAACATAATGTTCATGCTCGTATGCAAATACACATTGGCATGTAATAACTTAGGGAAGACGTGGGTAATATGCATTTTACTTACGGTGATGTAACACGCCTTTAGGATGACATCGCAAAATTTTAAGAATGTAATGAAATGCGCAACCTTACCGATAAGTAGATATATTATTTATACTTAGAAGATTGATGTTTGTTGGTTTATTATATAGGTAACCACTAGCCTTACTTGAAATAGATGAAGGGAATTGAATAGGCACTCAGAAATATTAAATATTCTGATACTATAATGTATCAAAAGTATGCATAATAATATGGTTTTAAAACCCGCCTTTTATTGGGTTCCGACATAGATAAGTGTACATACAAACAAAAGACTTAGTAGTAACAAGCTCCCAGTGAGCGATATTTTATGTGGTATCTTGAACAAACTCATTCTTCTCAATGTCTGTGTTTCAAAAATAAATTTAATCTTTTTAAACCGCAACTTTTAGTTATAGTTATTTATTTTTGTTGCATGTAAAGGAATGAAAATTACTGCCTTTGGTCCATTTTAATCTTATTATTTTTTAATTGATAAGCTTCTTGGTGACTGGCCTTGGTCAATTCTTGAATTAAGTGACATTTATCTGAGAAATCTTTTTTATAATAATTAGAACACATTTTTATCTTAATCTTGTACTTTGGAAGTAAATGAAATTTTAAAGTAGATTTTCCTTTAATGTTGATCACAGATGCGTCTATGATTTTTCGTTAGTTGTTGCAAGCTAGAACGATTTCCACTTCAAGAGTTTACAGATAACTCACAAAGAACCTTCAAGTTCCATAACGTTAACGCATCTGCGCCTTTTGCAGAAATTTCACTTGCTCTACTTTTAAGGCTACTGTCCGCGGAAATGGATAAATAATTTGTCACCGTTGCCATAAACAATGATAACAGTACAATAATATAAATTTAAAAATCTGATACTAAATAATATTAAAAACTTACTATTTCATAAGTCTTATTGGCATTAAAGTGAATCCACAGCAGTCATTGTTTGTTTGCATTGAATAACTGCTAAAACTGCTGGACCTATTTTAAAAAAAATCTTTCACTTCGAACATCTAGATCATACAGAAGAAATATCCAGTAAGAAATATAATTATTTATTAAGGGCAAAGTTATACAAAGTCTAACTAATTTTTATAGACAGTAATTGTTCTTATTGTCTGCACCAAACTTTAACTTACAGAAAATAGGTTTGATAGACGGATGAACCGATAAAAATAAGATACATGGGTAGCCTTAGTTAGCCAAAGATCTCAAACCGAAGTAATGGTAAATAAGCATAGAATTGGTACCATGCAAGTGCATAATAATATACGTGTATCGTAATACCAGAAATTTACTTGGTATTTATAAATTACGATTTGAGAGCAAATATATATAAAAACTATATACGATAAGATAGCCAGAATCGCGAGTTGAAAAACAGTATTACAGGCATATCATGGAAGTATTTGCTCGATACTAAGATATGGCAAAATATTATATTTTGGAGCAACTCATACCACATCAATAAGGTTTTTATTGCTCAAAAGGCATGCATTAGAGCAATATACCACATGGATAGCTTAGTTTCATGCAAACCTCTGTTTAAAGGGTTGAAAGTTCTGACGATCCCTTGCCTATACATATATGGGAAGTGCATCTTTGTAAAATCTAGCTATTTAGTTCTATATATGACTTTCCTCGTATATACAGCTGTAGACGTCCAAACGTTCTATGGCAGTAAAAATCTACAATAAGCTTCCTAATAATATAAAATCTATAATAAAATAGACTTAGATATAAACATAAGATGTGGTTACAGGAAAAATGATTTTATTCTATTAATAAATATTTGGTAAAGTGATATTTTAATTTTGACATGCATAAATTGGATATAATTTTTGACATTAATATATTAAATAATGGTGAGGCGGCGTGTAAATAGCCAAGACGTCACGCGAGATCTTAATCGAATGCGGTTATTAATAATTGTAAAAGAGAAAAAAAAGCGAAAGAAAAAATTTTTAGAAAGAAGATTATCATTAAAGCACACCCAATGGAACTCTGATATAAAATCGAGAGTACTTACTGAACTGATGTACGCCACTTGGACATGAACGCCAATACCGCTCCGTCCACAATCCTTCTGGTGTTCAGTCTTTGGGTATACTTATTATGACGAAATTTTTATATTACTTATACGGCTGGTAGATATTTTTTATGCGTTGTTGCGAAAGACAAAAAGCGAATGACAGAAGAAATTTTCTTCTTCTTATGCCGTCGTGGCGTCTATGTGGCCAGCGGTGAGGTTGCATACGTAATGCAACCTCCTACATAGTTCGTAGCGTCCGCGGCGGCGACGCAGAACAGCAGACCCCCGGAAGTACACCAGATATTCCTTTAGCGGTGCACTCATAGGGAAATCGAAATATAATTTAGAAAAAAGTTAAATAAGAAAAGTAAAGCAATAAAGCGACTTCAACATTTTTGATTTGATAATTTAACTGTATTTTATATGACTATTTCACTGTTGACTTTAAATTTACATGTATTACTTTGATATATACTTAAGTGTTGATTATTGTTGTTATTTTAATTTGAATCACTACTTATTTATTATTTTATTTATATTGTTATTATTAAACAAGGTGATTAGAAGAGTCTAGAAAAAATAATATATTTGTTCAATTTTGTATTAAAAGGCTATACTACTATGCCCTTATTGTAAAAGGGTTCGAGTCCCATCTCACGAGGCTGATGGATATTCATGCATTTTTCATTAAGAATAAAAAAAATTTTTTGCTTTATTAATATTTTTTTATTAATATATTTTTTTATATTTTTTGCAGGTGCACCTAAAATAAAATGGAAGAATATAATCTCACAATATTTAACACAACGTGGCTCCGATTCCGAGAGACTGCACCAACATCTACATTTGCAGTAGTAGTCAACACAACTATTAGCAGAGTGTCAAGCAATGCTTACGAGTGGCGCTTCATATTGCCACCATATTTCCTGATATTCTTGCTATCTATAACTGGGAATTGCATGGTCATAGCCACTCTAGCAAGCAACAGAAGAATGAGAACCATCACGAATGTTTATCTATTAAATCTGGTGAGTATTTGTATTGCTGTTAAACTCAAACTCAAAGATATCCTTCTTGGTCGAGTAGCTTGTATGCTGGTTCCATATTTTTGCTATTGTATGATTCAATTCTTCGAATCATAAATATTGGTTTAAACGAGTATACTGTAAACCTTTATGGTCATTTATATTAGAATAAATAAATAAAATATAGATATTGGACAACATCATATACATTGCTCAGATTCCAAGATGAGTAGTTAAAGCGCCCGTATTATGGAGTATCTGATACATCAAAGGTACCATAACACCCAGACCTGAGACAATATAGAAAAGTTCCTTTTCTCCATTGACCCGACCGGGAATCGAAACCGGGACCTCAGCGATGGCGACACCTTGAAACCGGCATGCGAACCACTCGGCTACGGAGGTAAATAGTGAGATTACTATCATGAATGTTATATTTATAGAGTTTTTTATATATTTCGGCACTGCTATAAGCGCCATGATCACGGAGTAACTGAAGTTTTTACGGGTTATTGACAGATATGTAAGGTATAAAACATAGACCTTTTTACTAGCCCTTTTAAATTCGGAAATGCTCTTTAAAGGTGGCCGTCAACCGTTTCCGCGTGCATGCACTGACCACACGACACACAACGGATTGTACGGATTTTTCGATGTCATACGTCTACTGAAACCGAATTTTCCATAAACACTTTTTACCGAAGTAAAAAATATGGCCGAAGCGGATAGTGGACGTAGTGCTGTATAAATTTATACAAAGATATGGAAAATCTATCGCGTGTCGTGCGACTGCCACGTACGTGCGGATAATATGAACGTTCACCTTTAGGGTCCACTAAATAAGGTCCTGCACCTTTAACTATAGAATTAACAAAACTGCCTGTATTTTTGACATTTTTAAAGGATTGCAAAAAATGTTTCCCTGACTATGGCAAGTCGGGGAAACATTTTGTTTCGCCATATTTCAGACTCTTTTCTCAATCACAATTGATTACTTTATCTGATTTATTGGGTTGACTAATAAATAATGAGCGACACGCGTTTTTTTTTGTTTTTTTTTTAATTTATTTTTAAAATAGCTTATCATTTACAATGTAATCGCCGTCGTTATCTACCACCGTACGCCAGCGATTAGGCTAAATTTGGATTAAGTCTCTGTAAAACTTTGCCGGTTTGGATTTGAAAAAGTCATCTTATATACTGTTAAGTGACCGGAATAAACTAAAGTCTTTTGGCGTTATGTCCGGTGAATACTGAGGATGCGGAGCCATTTACTAGTTCTGCTTCAGTAGTTTCTGTCGGGTCTTAGTAATATGCGGTCAGGCATTATCATGGAGGAAAAATATTTTGTCATGCTGTGGACGCTTACGAAGAAGTTCAAGCTTCAGATTATCGAGTTAATTATAGTACACGTTCGATGTGATTGTGGTTTTTTAGGAAGAATTTTCCAGTATTCATATACATCCATCACCATACGAGAGCCTCAATTTGCGAGGATGTAGATCTTTTTTGGTGTAGGTTTGCCTTGTTCGTTGCGGCCTAGCCATTGGCGCTTGCATGTATGGTTTACATACATGACCCACTTTTCGTCTCCAGTGACGAGATGGTCTAGCCAGTAAAATGTAAGTCAAAATGATAATAAATGTACACATATCTCTGCAAGATAAACGAGTTGATCCTTAATCAGCTGGTGGGTATCCAAACGCCAATTTGTAAGACTTTCCTAATACATGCAAATGATTTCCAATCGTACCATGAGAGTAACCAAGATCTATAGCCAAATCACGTGTGCTGCGTCTAGAATCTTCTTCAATTAACGTCTTCAGAATATTTGTTTCTATTGGACGCTCAGACCTCGGTTGATCTGAATGAAATGATGAATCGTTGGAACCACCGCTTTGCTGTTGCCTCGGAGACTACATTATGAACTACACATTGGCATATTTTACGTGCAGCTTCTGCGGCGGAATGGCCAGATTAGTACTCATATAATAAATAATGTCGGACATGAGTTTTAATATCATTCATTTTTTCGTTGAAGTTAAGGCAACGACATTCGAAGTATTACTGGGGTGCATGATCACTACTGGCTCTTTAAATACCCCCCGCCAAAGAACGTTCTCGACACTACTCAAAGTTTCTAAAAAATAAAAATAGAAACTCTCATTACTTAGTAGCCAACCCGATATTTCATTCTGCTCTAAATCACAAATATAATATTGTAAATTCCTATATTTTCAATGTATTTATTCAATTATATAGATATTAATTTAATTTTTTTTTGGAGCAGTGCCGAGAAAATATCTTTCAATTACAGGCTAGCGTGTCTACTATGTATAATTACGACTATGTTTGCAAATCAAAATTAAGGTCATCTTGGCTATTTGGTAATGAAAACAATTCAATTTTTTTGTCTATGATATGATATTTACGGTAGCTCATTCATTCAATAAACGAAGCGAACCGAAGAATGAGCACTTCGAATTAGCGATATACGTAAAAGGTTCTTATCGCGTTCTCCAAATTTATGTTTTCGCTAAGTCATAGATACTCAATAACTTTTATTTTTAATTGAAGTTTATGCCGTTTTTTTTCATTCTATCATAATGAATTCTCAATCAGTGATTTGATTTATACGCCCTCTCGATTCAATATAACAACTCACAACACTCTGATCTCAAAGTAATTAACATAACCGCTAGAGAATCAAAAACAATGACAGAATCATGACAATGGAACCTAGAGCTTAAATTTATATTCAGACGTTTCACAACTATAACATTAACCTCTATTGTATTTTAAGACAGACTTTAAAGCTAAATTAAATGAATTCTCATCAGCAAAGATAAACAAAATTCTGTTATAGCATCCGGGTCAGCACCATTCCTTAATAATCCCGCTTTACTGACAGATAATTTAGTTTGAGGGATCAGTGCGGCTTCCATCCATTTCCTTTATTATTAATTGCAAAGATTAAATACAGATATAAAACAATGACTGACACTACTTCTAATACGGCTTAACTTACTTTGGGATGAAAGAAGACGTTGTCCAATAATTATGTGTTTCTTGATATCCATAAATATATACCATCGAAAAGGAAACTGATTCAATAAGTAATCAAAGGTATTTATTCTTAATAGTAATTCTGGAAAACTCAATAGTTAAAAACATTTAATTTTTGACAATAGCTGTTCCGAAATAATTATGAACAACATCCATGCTGGGACACGAGTTTTGTTATATACTGTTTTTCTATTCAACTGCTGTATACAACATTAATAGATAAAAATAATTATTAAATATTTAATTAAACATTAAAACTACTGACAATCCGTATTTTGTGATTCTACGTTTCTTCGACATACTGAAATATTAAGCTTTAGAAATATTTGAAAATGGATAAGCAAAACTAAAATATTAAATATTTTATCATTTTTATTTTTTTTATACATTTATAGCTTCTTTTTTCACATAAATATTAGACAAGTCAGACAGGAGATACCTTCGTAATTACAGGAAAAATAAAACACCATCATAGGATCAATATTAAATACCTACCGAAATTATACAGCTTCTTCTAAACTAGCTATTATACCGAGGCTTTGCCGGCGTAAATTATAGCTAAACTAGTATCCTACAAGTAAAAATACAGGTCGTTATTATATGTCCGCAAAATATGAGCAATAATTTGGAAAATATCCGCTTTTAAAGCTTGAAACGTCGGGAAATATACTAAAAAAACGTTGCATAACAACATTCATTATAATAGACGCACAAAAATTGCCCAGACGCCCATACGATGTTCGCTACCGTAGCACCGTGTGACGTCACTTAGTGCACTGAATTCGTAGGGAGCGTTGACAGCCAACTAGCAACAGTTTCGAAAACATAGCACCGTATCTTCGAAACTATTAATTTCAGAAATGTTGTAACCTCTAAATTATGTCGCAGATATTAATAGTACCTTGTCAATTAACCTAATAGGCCAATATAGTGATCAAACGCACCTTTGTGTAACACGTAACGTTTTTTCTTATGTGTATAGCTTACAATACGTGTACCAATTGATATGCTATAAAATCTGTAAAAGCCTTAGCTTAAGATCGTTAATAAAAATAAATATAAATTCTGATATTATACTACATTACTCTTATAGCTCGAATCTCTAATTAAGTAAGGTTTTTAACTTTTGTGATATGGATATTTTAAACAACCGGGAGTCGAAGCCGGGAAATAAGAGATAGTGACACTTTGAAAATGGCGTAGCTCGGTTGCGCAGTGGATAAGTGCAACCCACAATCGTTGTTGTTAGGTAAATTTTAGTCACTGCTGTATTTGCAGTCGTTAATACCCTCCAATCTGCATTGGGCCAACGTGGAGGGTCAAATCCTATTCTCCTTAACCATTCGTAAAGAAGGCGTGGACCCCTGCACGTGAAAGGGTTGATGATTATCATGAAACGTGCGAGCTACTCGGCTACGGATGTCGTCAAAATAAATTATACATCCATATACACATATGTATATTCATAAATCTATATGCCATTTGGTAAAAATGTATGCACCACTTACTAACTTACATATTTATTTCATAGAGTAATAGTAAAAATTAAAAAATAATTGGAATATTTTTTGTTATTTAGTCGTTAATGAAATTAACCAAATGTATTAATAATAATACTGATAATTTAAAAACAATAAAATGTTTATATAGTTCTCGATACAAGGCAAAAGTCACACTTGAAAAATATAAAAAAAATGAAATCATTTTCTTTCTTTGTTACAAAAATAATGCAATACAAGTTGTTTGAATACTCTTACCTACTCATACAGTGACTACGGAATACTGAATTCCGTGATCATTCAGTTTTATCGTTTGCGTGCGATATGCATGTAGCATTGTAAATCTCGGAAATATGATACATACTTATTATGTAACTTTAATTAAATAAAGACTATGGACATCGAAAAGATTGTTTTTTCATAACTTCGCATTTTTACTAATAGTTTTTTTTTATATAATTTTATTTGCAATAATCACAGCACAACATGCTAAATACACACTGACATAAATTTTTCATACTTTACAGTCAACAACTCATCCACTGAAACTTATCCAATTATACAAAACCAAAAATATACTTGTTAAAAGGTCACAAATTTTTCTCCGTCTTGTTATAAATATAGCCTATTTATAGAGGAAATTGATAAATATTCGAGTCAACTTTAATTGTGTGACGCATAATTGTCTGTCCCTATCATTCTCATTACCAGGCGAAATACACAAATAATTTTTATTTTTTTATAAACTAATACATGTTGTATAACTTTTCTGGTCATTAAAAAAACTAAAATCAGAAACTAAAGCCTGTTTAAGTGAAGTTTGAGATGTGTTAAGTTTAAATACTCAATTCAAGAACGAGGTATAAGTCACTAGCCTGTAATGTAGCTTTCCGTCAGTGTAAGAATTTTCATGATCGGATTAGCTTTTTCCTAAGATTACTCCCTACAAACAAACATAGAAACTTTAGCTCTTTATCATACCTACATGAAAAATAAATAAAATTTTCTATACATTCGAATAAATAAAATTTAAGTGTCTGTTTGTAACATTAAAATAACCGCATTTTACTAAATACACGGTTCATACGAGTATACCAAAATAACATTTGTTTTTTTGTCTTTCTGTCTATTATTTCTAGCTAATCTCTGAAAGGGCTAGACCGATTATGACAGCACTTTCACTGGCTGATAGTTTATGTAATAAGGAGTAACTTGGGCTGCTTTTCACAGCTAGTAATATATATATATATATATATATATATATATATATATATAAATTTTATGTATTTGATCCCTCCTTCTTTGTTCGTTTTATCGATATTTAATAAATGATTTGTTTAATAGATGTTCTATATCTGTTTAAGGCCATCTCGGATTTCCTGTTGGGGGTGTTCTGTCTGCCATTCACATTGGTTGGTCAGATCTACAGGCGGTTTCTGTTTGGTGCGATGCTTTGTAAATTAATACCATTTCTTCAAGGTAAGTCAATAAAACCGATTCAATAAAACAATGTTTCTCATTTATTTCTTTAATTTAAGTATTTAATGATTCTATATTAATATAGTATATATTAATATTATACAGAGGATGGTTTTGATTATTTGTTTGTTTGCATAGGCTCCAAAACTTCTGCACCGATTTAAAAAGTTTTTTAATCTATGGGAAGCTACATCATATGCGGTGGATTTTATCCCGAAAATAAATAAGGGGATGAAAACGGGAATAGTGTGGAAGTTTGTATAAGGTATTAAATCGTCGACATATTCACCATTGTTTACTAATCAATTTGCGATTGTGATTACATATGTCCGTGACATGGTATGAAACCTTATCAAAATTAATTATTATAGTAAATTTTAAGCCTGGATAAACATATGGGCTACTTTTCATCCCACTAAACAGTTACTTAGGGACCACGTGGGCGTAGCCACTATCTGAAAGCTAGTAACACAGAAATTCAGATTATGTGCAGCGCATTCAAAAAGACACGTTAATTGCAGGTCTTGTATTAACTATTAAACCGATCTTCTAGAACAATCGAATCACACAGATAACAAATTTCTATTTATAGTATATTTATATAGAATGAGAATTTTCAAATAAAACATATGTGAAATCAATCCTAAATATAATAATAGTTATCAAACCGTTGAAATATAAAAAACCTTTCAACCATTCAATCTGATATAAACCAAAATAGGTATTGCCCTAAAAAAACATAAAATCATATTTTATTATAATAGGAACGTTGCCTCACATATATTCCTTTATCTTTGACAGACAGCCGTTGATGTTCATTTATAGACTGAGGAAAATACAATAAATTACATTCACGTTATGAATATTGTTTTCTTTCTTGAATTATTCATTCCAACTGGAAGGTGTCTATCATATGCAAATATAATTATTACAAATATTTGATTTCAACCAAGTGCGAATAAGAATCTAAGTCCTTCTTTTGAATATTAAGTTAAATAAAAACACAATATAACCTGTTGTGTGACACAAGCTATTTTCCTGCGTAAATTATAGCTTATGTTTACTGCGATGTAGCTTCCCATCAGTGAAAGAATTTTCGTGATCATATCAGTAAGTTCGAAAATTACCCCCACAAAGTAAAGTTAGAAAGTTTACTAATATTGGAGAATTTTCGTTATCATATCAGTAAGTCCGAAAATTACCCCCACAAAGTAAAGTTAGAAAGTTTACTAATATTGGTATAGATTTCCGTTTTTTATTATCTCCTACTGTCGATACTCCCAATTTTATTAATATAAGATTTCAAGATCCCGCTTTCCCGAGTATGGCAATGCTGATAATAACCGATGTTTACTGCTACTATTATGTTACGGTTATTTGTTTCTTGGAACGAAATAACAAAAGCCAGTTCGTGCTTGACCACTATTTATTTATACACTACTTTCATTTAGTAAACACACATTGTACGTTGTAAATGTTTTGTCACAACTGTTTTTTAATTCATCTGATGTCACTATAATAAGAGTATTCCAGAAACGTCCTAGATAATAACTAGCCTCTTGTAGCCAAAAAAATACCGTTAATTTTTTTTTATATTGTAATGGTCATAGTTGATTACATAAATTATCACGGTAGACCAAATTTTCTTTGTCACGTTATCTTGAAATACTTATTTTTCACTTTTTAATACGGCGCACACGAAGAACTATCTTTCGATTCGAGGTAAATTCAAAATAAGTTGTGACAAGAAATCAGAAATATTTCATCACTATTCTCAATGGTTTTGTCACAGTTAAAAATGTGAATAAAATTTTTTTTTTCAAATGCTTGTTACCTTTTGCTACAAGGGAGCTTTCCACCAGTGTTCACAGATGATCCGATAGTGCGGCCATTTTTAAAACAAATATAAGATAGCATTGTAAATGCAAAATTCACAATAATGATACTTCATCACGATTTAATGTATCTATTATAATAACACCAGTAAGGCTTCCCATTTAATCAGGTAGAGTCCTGGAAACCTGATCGTTGTTTTGAGAACCTACATGTATAACTTCAAAGAAGTAGGCTTGATAACCTGTAATGTTAAGAATATGTTAGGATATATTAGAATCTCATTATAATTCTAGGTATCCGAAGATATTATACGGTAGTATTGAAACAGCGTACTTATGATGTAATGCAGCCCTTGCCGAGTTTCTTGCCGGTTCTTCTCGGTACAAGGTCTCCCGCCGTAGATTTACGAACCGATGGCGTAGCTCTCGACTTTCACAAGTGCTTGTAACAGCCTAGACTGAATAAATGATTTTGATTTGATTTATGTATTTTGTACATTTTTATTATATAACAGAAATACAAAAAATAAATAAAAAGCTAAAACTGCCTTCAAATATGAAATAATTGTAATTCTTGAAAACCACAATGGTCGTTAATAAATCTAATAAACTTCAATTAAATCGGGGCGAGGATTTGATTGCTGCTTTTAATCGCCTATTCAAATGAACTTTATAAAATTCGTCTAAAAAGGATGGCATTTTTTTTTTTTATATTTCAAAGAATTTTAATTTTATAGTAAGATAAATAAAGTTTCACTAATACTGATATTATTCAGTGTAGTGGAATAACTTCCACCCGTACTCGTTTAAAAGAAATCTTAATTGGGTAGTAGGAAATATCAAATTATTAACTTAACGCTACCAATTCGAAGGATTTTGAAAGAGTAGAGTTTGAAAGTGGGTAGTTAATATTTCGGTTGTGATTGTTAATTCAAAAGATTTGCTTCTATAGCTTCAAACATAATAGAAAAAACGTTGGAAGACTCATTTGAAAATCTTCTTGTAAATTACAAAGAGTATTAGATAGTTCACTCTAAATCACTAGCTATCTCCACATCATATTACATTGAGTCGGAATAATTTCATTGTATTTACTTTTCTAAACATCGAAGAGTGCATTACATCTAGGATTTTTGATCATTTTTTATTGAAAAGAGTAACTTTTTTATTTAGCTTATATAGTTTCGATATCAAATTTTCATCGACTGAGTTTATAACGACTGAAATCATAACAGCATAATAATGTTTATGGGTCATTAAGTTAAAATAATCGTAAGCGTCGCATGGATGCGACTAGACATACATATATTTAAAAGATAATAATAGCTATTATTTAAAAAAAAGCTTTCAGTTGCTTTATTATTTATATCATATCACCTTATGGAGTCACCGCGGGTAATAATTTATCAAATATTATTATAATATATATTTAGACTGTACGTGCTTTCTTTTTCATTTTTCGCCGTTATAACCGTCGCTTTAATTTCTTTATCTATTTTTTTCTATATTTCTCAACTTCTAATGAGTTTCTAGCTGGATAAGTTTTAGTTGAAAGTACCATGCTGGTTTCCTTAGTTTTCTGATGTTATTTGGAGAAATTTCAATTCACGGCATATAATTAATTTTATATATTCTTGTTGATTTTCATAGCATAAATTAATCGCATAAATTATTATCCCGTTTCCTTGGGAACTTTACTTCCACATTTAGGGGATGTACGACTAATAGGTAATTTTCATATTTACTTGACAGGCTGGAGTTAGTACAAGACAAAATTTAACACATGTTTTTGTCCTTGTCATACCAATAAATAACACATTAGTAAGTTGTGAAAAATATTTATTTCAAACATTAGCAAGCGGCAATTAGTCAGTCCCGGCAATTAGTTTATTCTTTTTAAGAAGGCAGTGAAAAATATACAATCGCTGAAGGGATATCCTTATATTTGATATATGACTTTAACAGAAGTAAGGATAAAAGCTTGATGTAAAAAAACTCGTAGTAAAATTAAGAGCACGACGCTCTCTTGTTATTTAGAACAATGTGTTTTTCAAAAGGCATTAAGTAGTTTTTGAAATGTACCCAATCAAGATTTTAAATTTATTCATTTTTAATAACATGCTTAATGCTTGTATTGAAGAGATATCTCAGTTCGTAATGTAACAGTCCGTAATGTCCATACAAACATATTACCTATTTATAACTTAATACCGTGCTTTAGGTCTATTATGAAATGTTTGCGAAATTAGGTCTCAATCAAACACAATTTGCGAAAATTAGATAAATTTAATTACACTATGGTCAAATTGTAACTTAAAATAAAGATAATATCACAGTTTTAATACAGACCTCTGAATCGCATTTAAAGTAGTCTACAGTTATGTCGTAGGTTACACATAGGAATTCACAAGTTTATTTTCTTGCAGCTGTATCTGTATCAGTGGATGTTTGGACCCTCGTGGCGATATCCTTGGAGCGATACTTCGCGATCTGCCGACCTCTGAAATCCAGAAAGTGGCAGACGCAATGCCACGCGTACAAAATGATCACCATGGTGTGGATGTTGTCCATAGCACTCAACTCTCCTATATTGATAGTGTCCACACTACAGCCGATGAAAGCGAATGGTGAGTATGACTTTATATTATTTCAGTCTCAAAACTGTTTGGTTTATTAACTACAAATCAAGATTTAATAAAAATAATAACACGAACCAACAATTTTTCCCTAACAAACAATAAATGTAATACAAATTTAACAAAAACATTATTATAATTGTTGTAGTAAACATAAACTAATAAAAGAAATGTGAGATCACATAAAAGGAACACAAAATATTTCTTTCTCGTTTTACAAAAAAATTAAGTCATATTCAATTAAAGCTGACAAAAATTTAAACATTTAGGAATGAAACAGCCAGTAACAGTTTCGCTCAGAAGTCAAGCATAAAAACACATTACAAGTACTACAATGAATTCGAGACTTTTTATAGTGACATTGTCGGCATCTAGATTGCTTATCAGCAATTAAAGGCATGTGGCCGGCCCCCTGCACTCGTTTACTTTTTGATGGTAGAGGAGCAGTTGGTCTACCTCTTCCGCGTGGTATATTCTCCTCCAAGTCAGACCTATTATTATTTTCTTCACAATTTGACATTGAATAAGTATCAATTAAATACTCTCCTAGGGCCATTTTAAACGCCCTCAATTGTAAAATTTTTTTTGCCGGAATACTATTTTTTAATTGGTCTTTTTTACCAAATAAATATTTTTTAATTAGACACTGACATATCAATCATATGAGACAAGAAGCGTTGTGTCCATTTGTTGGTGCGATATCTGTATGGAAATATAGCCATTAGCCTATCAGCTAGGTCAACTCCACCCATTTTACAGTTATAGTTACGTATAACTCTGGGTCGAGTGACTGGCACATAAACTTTTCTGGAAAGATCGAAGACTCATGAAAGCCCTCAACTGATGACAACATAGTGACCGCTTTATTGTCATACCACTTTGTTAAAGCTATTTTGTTATCATTTCGTACAAGAACCTGACTGGCACCCCTACCAAGATCTTACGATTCTCGGTCATCCTTCAGAATTAATCTGTTTTCATACCTGCTTCATAGCTGCTCCAGGAATTTTGTTTTTCATACCTGAGCACCCTATGCCTCTGTCGAGGAGTTCATCAACCAACCTTTCGCTGGTGAAATATCTTTCGGGTTAGCTAAAACAAATATTTTCAAACCTTCTGGATTTGGTTTCCCAGGTACATACTGTTTTATGCCACAAAAACCAGTGAACGGCACAATCATTTCGTCGAACAAAGCACATCTTGTTTCTCTTGAATACGACAACCTTTTTGAATTCGGTCAATAAGTGGTCGCATTTTCCATAGTTTATCTTTTAATCGGATGGCTTGATCAACTTCTTCATCAAATACTAATTTGAGTGAGTTCCTCAGCTGTAAAAATCTATTATGTGACATATTGGACGAAACTATATCCACACTCGTTTTCCCAGTACATACACATTTGTGGGTAATGTACACTAGCCATTACCAATGTAATACCAAAGTATAGATGACATTCATTGCTATTCAAATTTAAACTTCGGCAAAGTAATTTGACTGCAGTTTGGATGGTTTTTGCAACAATTAGGTCCACTAAATCACTATCTATGTATTGATAGAAGTAATCAAAAATGTAAAATTCACGTGTATCATTCACCAAGTATGAAGGCTCTGACCTATTAAAATCTATTGGAAAGAAAATACTATCTGTCCAAATAGGCATTGAATCGCTAGAAGAAGAAATTTCCTGCGTACTAACCGTGCCATTTTCTGACATATTTTGGACGCGTGCAGTAGCATTCGATGAACCACGACCTCTTCTAACACTGCCGCGACGACCGCCACGGCTACTCAGGACACGATCACTTCCATTACCCCGAATTCTCCGGTTGCCCCGACTTCCATATCCGTCATGACATGATCTTCGCTGTTCTCTTCACTTGAGCTGGATGAAGTTCTCTCCTGCGGAGCCACATAAGGGGGATCGTCCAGATCTTCGTCGGATGGCAAAAAATCTTCTAAATCAGAATTGGCCAGTAAGTTTTCGATGTCCTGTTCTCGCATCCCTAAAACATATAATATGTATTAACGCTTAATGTACTTCTATAAGAACAAAAAGTAAGAGACAGTTATTGGAATATACGCTCGTTGTTCTCATACAAGAACATATAATTACGAAGCAAAACAAAACCACTTAAAAAAACGAATCTGACAATAATATTACAACGTGCATACACTTTAGTGTTTATTCTATATAATTAACTAAGATTTAGAGACTTAACTTAATTGATTACTTGAATAATTAGAGATTAAAACTTACCCTTACCACGCGTGCGTTCCATGTTTGCAAGTCCGATGTGTTTTGACAAGTGATTTCCGATTGGATCAGCTAACAATCGTATGATCGAAGTTCCGTAACTATCCACCAATCAAAAACCACTATAAAAATATGACCGCTCGCGGCAAAATTTAAAATAAATGAACGGTAACTATTTTGTTCTCGTGTAAGGCCACTGGGCTGAAAGGACTTCGTACTAGCATATTGACCTGGGCGGCAGTCATGTACGACATTATGTCCTAGTCTGAGGTTTATTGATATTATTAAATTGTTTATGTTCCTAGAGTTAAATTGCGAAATAAAAAATACATTTTGGCTTTGTATTCTTAAAAATCGTGTATAAATAATGTTTCGTGGGCTATTCCAACCTTTTTTATATACCTTATCCCCCAACCAGGGCTCTCCAAACACTCCGCCCTGAAAAAAGCAGGTCAATATAGAAGGCTTACCTGATAAAGCCCACTGGCCCGCTGGCTATCTGTTGAAGTTCAAAATATTTCGAAAGTATTTACCGACTTATGACACCACTGGGTCTCGAACCTGTGCCTGCTACACTGTCCACACTTCTTCCTTCTTTAATTCAATTTATCGTTTGAACAGAAATTATTTTCAAATAGTTATTTGGTTTTTCAATTTTATGACCCTTCTTCCTCCCTAAACATCTATGAAAACTACTAGTATCGTATGAAAGCTTTCATTTAATCTGAACTGATTTTTTTATTGATATTCAGGGTAAACAAACACTTTTAGTTTTATTGAAACTGAATATTTGCCCCTTAACCTTTACCGAATGAGCTGATATTCATAATACGTTTGGTTACCGTGAAAATAATGGTTCAATTAAAAGCCGCCATTAAATATCTACAATATGTCGGACGCCATAAAATAATCACGTTATTAGTAAATTTGAAAAGTGTTTATATTCTTAATGAAGAATGCTTAAAAATACACTTTGTCCCTGGTATTCTGAGATGGGATTCGAACCCGCGACCTTTCGTAATCCGGGCTCTGGAAAATAAAAAATTATTTTCCAGTGTAGCATTGTGATTGATTTAGTTTGCGGAATATTTTAAACTTAAAGCAAATCCATACCAAATTCATTTAAAAATTTGTAAAGAGTTTTGAGTATAATAGATTTGATGAATGATGGGCAATATTTTAAAAAGCAACGTCATGCTTAATTGGACGTAGTTACTCTAAAAGGATCCAACCCACATATTGGTCGTTAGATATACCAAAATGTCCATCAGGATCTATAGTTTCATATAGGAAAAAAGTTCTGAGCTGTAATAAATATTTGACGTTTTTTCAATGGTAGTTACCATCCCACTTCTTTGGTAGGATCATATTTTAGTTCCATAAAAACGACTCAAGCTTCTTGGATCCATATAATAAAAAAGCAAATTAGCTAATAAAGGCACTAGTCTTGATTAAAAATCACAATAAAGATTCAAAATGCTTGAATCATTTTTGTTAAAAGGTTATTTTATTAAAAGGTGTAGGAAGGTAATTTTAGATAGTGAGAATACATTTGACATTAAAAATTTAATTGAAAGGTTCTTCAACCTTAAATAAATAGTTATTACGATAAAATTTTGGCGTTTCAGTTAAAAATTATTTCTTCATTTATTTCTTCATTTGTATGGTTTTTGAGATTTCTTTTGTAAGAACAAGGTAATTAAAACTTAAATATTTTATATAAATAATCCAAACATATTTTTACCTTTATATTTAAATAAAGAGAAATATTATTAGTTCTGTTAAAATGATATTATAATAAGATAATGTAAGTGGTTTTCTATGCTATTAGATAAAAATATAATATACAAAAATGTTACATCAACATGCAAATACAGCTTAAACTTCAATCGTCTATATCTCAAAAGTGTCGTTAGTTTTGACGTCGGAATCATGCTGATGACGTTACATAAATTTTCAATATGTTGCACACCTTAATCATCCGTTTTGGTGGATACTGTCGACGTCATGTTTATACACAAAATCATACAATATCATTTTAATTATATAATTTCTCCATTTCATTTTGAACCTTAATGTGATGTAGAGTTTAGAAATAAACTGTGGTAACCTGACAAGCTGTTGTGTGTTTATTCTTTTTATTTGTTAAATTGTTTTCAAAGTATTTCTGATTGAAAAAATAAATGTCTAGGTACCGTTTAACGATTACTCAAAGTGTTTTGTTTTTATTTCACCCAGGCAGGCATTATATTTACGATACATAGAAAACAGAATAAAACTTTTTAATAGTGTTTAAAAAAAAGGCATTGGTAGGTAATGTTGTTTTTTATACGAGTATTGATTTTAAAATTAGGAAATAAGGCCATCTATCACGTTGACATGAGTTCACAACGTGCCAAAGCAATACGAATCTAATCGTCGAGATTGACGAATTCAATTTGCTCACGATTTTATTCTGGTTGCATAAATAAGATTCGGATCGAATCGTTGTTTTTTTAAGCCTGATTGAATTAATATTAAACGAATAATGATAACGAGAAAACGAGACCACATGAACGGCTAATCAATAAAATAGATAAAGACAGACAAGATACGAAACTATATTATTATATAGCCGGCCCATTCATGCCATAGCGTGGGAGAGCCACGCTATGGCATGAATGGGCCGGCTCGACCGGACTGATACCACGGCCTCACAGAAAACCGACGTGAAGCAACGCTTGCGTTGTGTTTCGTCGTTTGAGTGAGGGTATCGGAGGCCCAACCCCTCCCTATTCCCATCCCTCTACCCCTCAACCCTTCCCTCTAAGGCCGGCAGCGCGCTTGTAGCCCCTCCGGTGTTGCAGGTGTCCATGGGCGACGGTAATCACTTACCATCAGGTGATCCGTCTACTCGTCTGCCCCCTATCCCATTAAAAAAAAATAATAATAATAAACTTACGTTATGTTAAAACCTGATGGTGTAATTTTCTTACTTTTAATTACTTTTTATTTGGATTTGATTTCTTTGTTGACAGTAATTTAGAAAATTGGTGTTCACCTTTCTTAGTCAGACAAAA